TTTATATGATTGGGAAGTGTTAAGAGAAAAAGATCAATTTTTGACCAAAAACGTCTATCTTTTTACCAAAAGATAGAATATTACATTAAAGATGCTATAAAAAATTCGAAAGAAAACAATGAAAATTGTAAGAGCGGTCGTCTTAGCTATTTCGAAAAATTATGGTTCAAGAAAAACCACTTTTTGGGAAAACATACGCACACGTTTTTTATTACAATAAATTTTTCTGTTATTAAGTTCCATTGTGTCTACTATAACTGGATTATAAAATTGCGCTTCCATGTTCAAATATTCGTTTTCGTTTCCGTCTATCGAAAACGGAATGGTTCATTCATTACATGAAAATATTTAATTTGTTAGTGATATGTATATGTAATCAACAATAAAAACTTCAACCCGTACCATCGTTTTGTAGAAACTTTGAAGAGTTTTGGATCGCTCTCAGGCAGACGGCTGGCCTTCTCTACGGCCGTCTCAAGGGAGCGACAGTAAGGTATCTTTTGTTTGAATTAGACATAAATACTTCCTCTAGATATCTTTTATCGCGTCGAAGGGATTAGAAATTGACAGATAGCTGCAGCTTTTTGCTAGATATTCACTTGACCTAGCCCGCCCTCAGCGCTTATGCATCAATCCAAAATGCCAAAGAAATAATTGCTTGGAATAAAATCAATTTCTTTTCATTTTAGAAGATTCCAGCCAACTATTAACCCACTTAAGAAAAAATTTGAATTTAAAAAAAATTGTCGTGCGCCCCCCTCCCTTCCCCTCTCCCTTCTACGTAATACATAAAAACTTATCCCGATTCTTTTCCGTAATGATTCAATAAAATTTTACTATATTCTATATACAAGCTTTTATATAACTGCATGCGTTGCACTTAATGCGCAAAGCTACAATTTCCAAGTATTAAAATTGTCTTAATCCACATAATATTGATTACACACACGCTCATTTCCTTTTGGGTATTGCATACATCCGTACCAATCCAATACACCTTCGTAATACAAATGATGCCGGATGTAAAAGAGTAGAGCGTAGTAGTGCCTTCTCACACCAAACTTTTTTTTTTTTTTTTGTCAAGTCATATAAATAAATTAATAACTAAAATTACTTACTCTTCTAAGTTCATTGTTGTTGAGCTGATTGTCAATTTGAACACTTACAAAATGTATCAAAATAGCTAAGAAATTCTTTTCGAAATATAACAAAACCAAAAAGAGCAGAGTTACTTATGCCTGATTGACACAGAAACATTTATTGATTTTCTTCTTTTTAATGTATAAATGGTATTAGTAGAAAAATAGTTTTATCCTTTTGTAAAAATTAAATACATAATTATAAACTGCAAAAAAAAAATAATAATAATAATAATAATTAAAATAAGTTTCGTTTTATTTAAAAAAGATCAACTTTCATAATCAACTCAAGTTAAACATTGATTACGCAGAGGTTACATTTTATTCGTTAATCTTAACCACTTTAGAGATGGATTTCTACATACGGTCTGTGTTGGACGAACGAAGAAAGTTTAAGTTCTACATTTTTACGATTTGAATGTTGTGTACAGGCAGGTGAGGCATTTATGCAGCTTTTCCGAATGACTCAACCGCCAAAGTCAAATTTGAAACGCAATCTTCTTCTTTCCTAATGTCATCTTTTTTGCTGTGACTGCCAAAAATCCATAAATTAGTTGTGAACGCATTGAGTAAACGTCAAGCATTTCTATGTTCATTTTTTCTCATTGTTTTTGGACATGTGCAGTATAAAAACTGTTGGACAGCATAGCAGGGAAAATATATGTGTTTGTGTTGACAAAAGTTGACAATTTTCTAAATTTGATAAGAGTTTCACCAAAACACTTCAAATGTTAAAACTTAGCCGACTCCACGTGTGGTGTATGTCACAACACTTCGTAACGATGATCCAAAAAATAGTTTATCGAAATTACTGATCAATGGAACTCTTTGCTTAAAACGCCAACTTATCAAGTTCCGGCTAAATAGTAATAATTCTCCAAATGATCACTTCGTACTTATTCAAACTAAACGGACCGTAAAAATGCAGCGATCGATACTTGTGGCAGTTGATCTAAAAGCACTCGTGAAGATGATAAAAAAAAAAAATCAAGAAATATCAGTCCCCAATTAACTCCTGCATAGATGCTGCAAAAGTAAAAACATCTCCCGAAAATGTAAGATTAAAGCGCCGTGGACTTTAAACGTTAACGTCAACGTCTTGTGAAGAGGGCTGATAATCTTAGTTGCTAGTGCTCATTCTGCTTTTGTCTTACAATTCATCCTTTTGATCCTTTTGATAAATTATCATTATAACAATAATGCATAGAATGCATCAACGCCTTCATAAATACTTTTTAAGCTATTTAGTTGAATTAGAAATGTGTCGTATAAGACAATAGGTAGATACATTTCATAGGCGAGATATTAAAATAGAAATATTTCGTATTTCAAAGTGGAGAAGAATTAAATTTCAACTTTGACTACATTTTTAACGCCCACAAGTAGGTGATATTAAAACGCATTAGGGTTTCCAATAAACGTTAATACAATTGCGATCTGACAGATTTGATCGATTATTGTTTAATTGTCCATGCTTAAGCGCAATAAGTCCAGTAGCATAATGAAGCAAAAATGGAGCAATTTTAGAAAGTGGCTATATAATTACATTTATATACAGAAATATTACCAGATCGCAAAATAATGTGCAGTAATGCATACAGTGCATACTGCTATAGCAATCATTTCTTTCTATTTCTAACTGCATCACAAACCTTTGTGAGATGCTTTTTAGGGTTGTTTTTGTGCTAGCACATGTGAACACTAATTACGTATGATGGTTTCATTCTTGAGTTTCAACTTTTTAGCTATCTGTATGCACAAGATGTGCAAGAAACGCTCTATCAAAATTTTCAAATCGAGCATAAGCAAAATTACTAACGTTTTGCTTTAGTATTGGTTGTTTAGGGTTGTATTCTGAACAGAAAACAGCTGTAAATTGAAAATAAAATAAATTGTGAGCAAAATGGTTTACCTGCAAACAGCTGAACCAAAACAACCATTTTAAATTTGCGAAAGGTATGCAAATCAGTTATTTTTATTGGCCTTTTACTTCTACTGCCTTATTAATATTTTCCCGAAAAGTCTTGTATGTTGAATTCTTCAATTATAAATAACAAAAATAAATATTCTTAATTTGCCAAAGCTTGTAATCAATTATGTATCAGCAATCTTTCCGTACATCATCATATATTGTCTCTATTATTGGTAAGGCGTAAAGTTCCGACAAATAATACCAATAAATAAATACCAATAAATTGGGGGGAAAAAAATCTTCGTGACGTTTGAAATCCTCTTACGGTACTCGGCAATGTGTAAGTAAATGATTTTACACATTTGTCAATAACGTAAATTAAAATCTACGTACACATGATGTTAGATGTAGATTTTTGCAAAAGCCTCGCGTGTCCAAAAAGACTTTTGAATACGTTTTAGGAAAAATTGGGTTGAGTGATGGCATAGAAAAAACCTACATGCCTTCAGTGATCAATTGAGCCCTTAATTTGCAGTTGTTGGGGTCTGGAGGCTGTCAATCACTAGCAGGTATTTTTTTTACTTAAGCGTTGCACGAAGCACCATTTTTGTTGTTATATCAGGAATGATGCAAGAAAAGGAGAAAAACTGTGCACGGAGTGGATTCAATGGGATATTAATGATAACACAAGAGAGTTCTGAGAGAGGTTCTGTAGGAAACTGGATATATTTTGTGACACGTTGTTCTACAATAAACAATGTTGCTAATATTTATTGACGTGACTGGATGCTTGGATGGAATCCAAGGCCCTCGAATTCGTAGGCCTCGAATGGAAGAACGAGTTCATCGGCTTACACATATGTTTTTTCTTATATACATATAACGTTTTGTTCATAAGTGAAATTTAGGAAGTAAACTTTCCTTGATGGAAGCCTCTTATTTTGATGACGGTGCCGACATTTCGTTAGAGGCCTCACAATTGAGGCGAATAAGTTAGGAAATAATTACCGGCATATCTTCTGCACTTTCATATCTAATTCTATTGAAAGAAGAGATATAAATAATAAATCTGCTTTAAGATGGTTTGTGGAAATTAAAAGGATTGATTTGCGGTTCATCCGTTTTGAAGCGTTGTACATTCTTTTTATATATATAAATATATTCTACAAAATAAAAAGATAGATATTAATATTCATAGTTCAAGTTCACAAATCAAAGTTTTCCTAAGAATGGAGAGTGCTAGGGAATTTCCGGATATTTTTCTAGCGACGCGAAAACATCTTTATTATTGATAACTATTTAGATCTTCAGGTATTTTCACGTCGCATAATATGTATCAGTATTCGTGCTGGTAAGGAAAGTCATTAGTTGCAATTTTTAATTTGTACTTTTTTTAGTTCTTTTTCTGTAAAAAGTGGTTAGTAACTCATTTCATTTTATTCCGCTAAAAATTTTACATATTTTTTTATTTACGTTTGTATGATTTTGTTATTCATTGTGTACTGATTGTATTAACAAATGTTCAATTTGCTTCTTAATTTCTCATTATTTTTTCGAAGTAAATTTCGAACGGCGAGAGCCATAGATAACTCTCAACCAAATGGTTCTCATGGTACGCCTTCCAAGTAAGAGTTAGTTAGTTAAAAGGTACATAATCAGTGCCTGGGTTTATATTAAGTGAAAGTTGAAATTTTAAGGAAGCCTTTAAACAAAATACTCGGCAACGTAACGAGGGTTCACTTATAATTTGAACTCGAATGGAGAAAGCCCGAACTTTGGATGCATATCCACGTTTTATTTTTTAAAAAACCACAAATGATATGTGCTGTAATATAATGAATTAATTTGTATTAATAAACAATGTTCGATATACGACTTTGTACCTGAGCACACTACGAAATACTGCAAATGAATTGTCTGTAAAACTGCAAGATACTTCTTGTTTGTATTGTTTGCAAATGTTAATCAAAAGCAAAAAAAAAAAAAATTCTTCATTCAACTTTTCGCAAAATGTCAAAACGACTTGTAGTTTTGCGTTGAAAAACTAGTAGATTTTCAAATAAATAATTTAAATAGAAAATAATATCTATATGAAGCGATGAACTGTAATAATATGGAGTTTTGGTGAGTAAGCTTAGAATTCATGCAACAATTGCCAAGTGTGGTCTTTCCATCAAAGTTTTTCTTAAAAAAAAAAAAATAAACTTGTTTTTTTCCTAATTTATAGCATTGCATTCTTAATTCTATGTCAATAACCATAATTGAAAGTTAGTACTGAGGTAAAATAATTAAATGCATAAATAAACACTCCCGATAAATAAAATATCAGAAGGTTGTACTGTAATTATTCCCTTAATATTATCTTGATTATCTTGAGGTAGAAGTATACTGATGTTGCCATTTCTATAAATATGTAATGATACTCGTTATAATACTGAAATTGTCACAATAACTTGGCAAATCAGTAAAAATTTGCAATTTGGAAGGAAGTCTTCGAACCCTCTGATCGAAATGATCGGAATTGCTTTTCATATTTGACGATATACAAAGTCGCCCTACTTCCTATGGAAAGGATTGGATCATAGCAAAACAAATAAGCCTTGTTTTGGGCTGCATATTTGGATTAGAAGCTCTGCAAAGAAACTGTTGAGCTTAACTGCTGCACACATTTCACGCGAATCACTAAAACCTTTTGCACAGCGAACAAACGTATTAAAAACAAACCAAAAAGAATTCCGACGCTATGCCAAGCTCATAGAAATTGAGCAAATACTCCAAATTTTCTTTTTAGACGCTTACAGGATGGTGCCACAGATCGAGCATCGTTCACTATTTTAAATGTCGGACATTCAAGATGGTTATAGATTAAATTAGCGATCATCTGTTATTTTGATTAATTTATGCTTCTTTTTTTTCAGTGACAACTTGGAAGAGTTAGATGACGAGACTTACGATGAAGAGAAGTCCACACGCACTACGGATGAAAATCGCAAGTGAGTATTAGATTTTTGCACACACACCTAAAAAAAATGTCCATAAAATATAGGAAGTTTTAAATTCCATAAATCCGTAGCGAAAATTGCATAATTTTTTGAATTCAAAATATCATGAACTAAGTAATCGATTAATGCCGAAGTTATGTACGATAACTGTGGCCATCGAATACCGGTTATAGTCGATCAAAGCTTTCGTTTGATTGGTAGCATCCGAAGTTTGCTGAGAAATGGTAGAGTGCGCTACGAAATTTTGCAAATCGCAAGAAGAAAAAATCGAACAAATAAATTGCGTGTATAATAAACTCTTCAAACTCTCAAACACTCTGAAAAATTTGCTGAAGTCATTGACAAAAGCGAAGAAAACATCGAAAGCTGAAAAATTTATCCAATTAACCATTTGTCCTCAATAACCATAAAAGTTCTATCTCTTTCAAACATTTATAAGTGCCATTTGCTGCATTTATGTCATTGCAATTGCAAGTGCTTCAATCAATGGAAGTCATTTTATGTCTTGGATAAGCAATATATTCTCATTTCACTAACTGCTTGCTATGGTTGGAGCAAAAAATCCAAAGGGAAAAGTAAGTTAAACAAGCTAAGGGGGATCGTTCCATATCTCAGGTTAAATCCACATCAATATTCTTACAACAATAGCATTAAAATTAATTCTAAAATACCCCAGCTGGGATCGATCGAAATTGCAAACAAGAGTTAAAATTTTACTATAACATGTTCTCAACTAATATTCGCAAGAAACTAGGGCATAATACTAGCCAGGCTAAGAGCTGGTAAATCGTATTTGCCTTAGTGTTTTTGCAATATTATGCAAGAATAGATATTGTGTCTGCAATGAGGTCCTAACTGTAGTAAATATTCGAAATAAACGTTATATTTCGAAAATAGATTTATTACTAAATCCACTAATTGATCTTTTTTTAATATTTTCTGCTTCTTGTAAATTCAACTTAATTCCATTTCCGGAATACATCGCTATTCGTTCTAGCAGCAATGTTCCATTAGATAATAACGCAATATGAGTTATTATTATTCGGCAAGTTAAAGCAAAAACAAGAGTTGTAATGCCATCTGGATAGAATAATTATCAAAATTAATTTACATATATCTAAAGATAATTATTTTTATAATTAAATAGTTAAAAAAGTCTTTAAGCGTAATAAAAAGATACTGCTATGGTGTGGCGAAAAATCTGTCACTGCTTACAACTGTAAATTAATGAAATAATTATATTGTGATAGTATATAATATTTCTTCGAGTAGGCAAAGTAACTTTTTCGCAATTCAATTTAATTTTTTTTGAATATTCTTATTGCAGGCAAAATCACAGCGAAATCGAGAAACGGCGTCGTGATAAGATGAATACTTATATTAATGAGTTGTCTTCGATGATACCCATATGCTATGCGATGCACAGAAAATTAGATAAACTGACAGTTTTACGTATGGCAGTACAACATTTACGTAGCATACGTGGAGCAGTTCACGCTTACAGTGGTGCGGACTGCAAACCCACATTCTTATCAGATCAGGAAATGAAAATGTTAATACTACAGGCTGCAGAGGGATTCCTGTTTGTTGTCGGTTGCGATCGTGGTCGCATTTTATATGTCTCTGAATCGGTATCTCAGGTGCTGAATTGTACACAGTCTGATCTTTTAGGTCAAAGTTGGTTCGATTTTTTGCATCAAAAAGATGTGGCTAAAGTTAAAGAGCAATTATCGTCATTGGATCCTTGCCCGAGGGAAAGATATATAGACGCCAAAAGTAAGTTAAACTAAAATTACTTTTTTACTTAATTATTGAATACAAGTTGATTGACCACCTCTAAGGCACGTTGTTAATATATGATTAATATCGCTTGTAATTTGTAATACGAAAATTGAAAGTATCTCATACTGCAAATACCTTCTTCATAAGCTTTATGATTTTTTTTAATGATCCATTTTTAATTGAAGTTCTTCAGTTCGCTCTCAAATCCCATAAACCGTGATAAAGGCAAATTTTACTTAGTACGCATTTACTTCCATAATAAACGAAAGACTGAAATTCCCGTAAAAAAATGATTTTCTTAAAAGTTTAGTTTTGCTTTCACTTAATAACTAACAGATCCGATTTCCCTATGGGCCAGAAGAACGCTAGCAATTCCTTCCATAACAATTTCGACATGACAAGAATAGAATCTGGAATCTCTTTCTCTATCTATTGCTTAATGCCACAAACTGGACAACTAGAATAAAATGTTATCATTTGCCTTGCACTATTCGAAGTTATTGGAAATAGGTATAATCCGTCCACAAATCCAAACAAATTATGTAAAAGAAAGGAGAAATTCTATTCAATTTGCTATAAAGTTATTGTACGATATTTGATTGAATATTAAAAGGGTCGAAAGTGATTTGTGTTAAGAATATTTTTTATAAAATGTGTTTTTTTTATTTTATTTTCATAGCAATGTTACCCGTTAAGGCGGATATACCGCACAGTTTATGTCGCCTGTGTCCTGGAGCAAGAAGATCATTTTTCTGTCGGATGAAATTGAAAGCGAGCGGCAGTCAAATTAAAGAAGAATCGGATACTTCTTCTAGTTCTCGCAGTTCGACAAAACGTCGCTCTAAATTGTTGAATGAAGATAAGTATCGTGTCATACAATGTACAGGCTATTTGAAATCGTGGACCCCTATTAAAGAAGAAGATCAGGACAATGAGAATGAAAATCAGATTTCAAATCTATCCTGCCTAGTGGCTATTGGGCGAATACCTTCAAATGTTTTGGAGAATCAAACACCTGCCTCGTTGGATAATCATCCAAATATTAGGCACGTGAACTTTTTATCACGTCACTCGGTGGATGGTAAATTTTTATTCATTGATCAAAGGTGCGTTTTTTGTCTCCACATTTTTAAAAAAAACTTTTCATCAAATTAATATGGGATTGATTGTTTTTGTAGAGCTACTTTAGCTGTAGGCTTTCTGCCACAAGAAATTCTTGGGAGTAGCTTTTATGAATATTTTCATCATGAAGATGTTCCCGCTTTGGCCGAATCGCATAAGCTAGTTCTACAAGTGGCCGAAAAGGTTACCACTCAAGTTTACCGCTTTCGTTGCAAAGATAATAGTTTCATACAATTACAAAGTGAGTGGCGCGCCTTCAAAAATCCTTGGACCACTGAAATCGAATACATTATGGCTAAGAATTCGGTATTTTTGTAAATATCATAAATAAGTGTCAAGTAAACGATAATCTGGAAGGGGATAAATAAAATATAAAAGTGTTTTTCTTTATCTTCTCCAATTCACTAAATCGCATAAATTCGGTAGAATGTATCGCGGACAAAACTCTTTCTTCTAATGTATCGAATTGTTTATCCTAGTTGCGACGCGATAAGTTAGAATTAAAAACTACACCTAGCTCAAGTTCATTTTGAACCAAGTGTTTGTTTATCTTATACTAACTGTCAATATTCTGAGGAAAAAATTGAAATAAAAGAATAAACAAAGTCATGCAAGCCGCATCAGCAGTTTTCTTCTACTGATTAGAATGTTAAGAAAAAAAAAAAAAAAAAAATTTTTTTTTTATTCGGCTAAAAATCTTTCCAATGGCTATCTATTATTAAACAGTTATTGATGGTTTTTATCAGCCTAAGGGCAGAATATACATTCAAAATTTTATGATTACTAATGGCATTGAAAGTTATTTGTGAGATTCAAGCAATCCAAAGTTCTGTCTAGGAAAAAAATGATGACTAACTGATGACTTTTGGCAATAAACTCTCCGTGGAGAACATTGTACATATTCAGGTAATGTTTTTCCAGTCTTGATGAAAGCATAAATTTACTAGGCTAAGCTGACTTCTCCGATAGATGAGAAAGGAGTAACATGAGTTCCTCCACCTTTGACTATTTTGTTCGTAGATTGCTCGCCATATAGCAAGAGGACATACCTCGCTTAAAAAAAAAAAAAAAAATCGGAAAAAACTTATTTGCTTTGATCAGCCGCCTTAGGCAACAAAGTGAAACCGGCAACAGTGCGCAACTGTACCAAATGAAATAAATTCCTGCTCGACATGTATGTATAATAAAGCACAAAATAATTTAGTCAAAACAGTTTTATGTACGACACGAGGACGTTGTTACATTTGTTAAATAGTTGTAATGCATACTCATGTCGCTGATCAGAGGAATCAACTTGGCTATCTTCAGTTGTTCGCGATTGTGATCCGAACTTTATTTGAAAGGATAAATTTCGTCTTGAATTTTTTCTTCTAACTCTTGCCAAATTATGGGTTTTCCCTAAGGATTCGGATTGTTTTTAAACGTTGCCTTATTGCAGTTTTTCTTTTAATTTTAAATTTCATTTTATCTTAAAATCTTCGTCAGATTGATGGAACAGTGCATCATAAGTGCATGTCGAATATCGTGCGCAGGTAAGCGAATGATTTTGTTTAGAAAAATTAAAAAAAAATAAAAAAATAATGTTTATTTTTTATTGTGTTTTTTTTTTTTTTCTATTTATATCTTTTCTTGTATAAAGTTTTAATAAAATTTAACCTCTTTTCATCAGGCATATTTTGTAAGGTTTCGGCGATAGCATAATGCCCGGTAGCAATTTCACCGATGGTTTATCTTTCGGTTCGTCGCTCAATTCAATACTGAAATGTTCGATGATTTTTATTAGGAACGAAAATAAGCAGGCACGAGCCAAAGCATCACCCAAGCACCGTCTGCGGCCTTGTCCGAACGGCATAAAGAAATCATCTTTAAATGCTTTGCCTTCTTCGTTGATAAAACGTTCCGGCCGAAACATTTGTGGATCACCCCAATGCTCACGATCCATTAATACCGTACTTAAGCCAATAAAAATAATTGTATTCTTGGGTATATCATAACCGTTAAGTTTTGTATTCCACATAGCACGTCGCGGCCCCGTAATTGGCAAAATATGATAGAAACGTTGCACCTCCATTATGAATGCTTCCATATAGGGATACAAATTTTTCGTACTTAAGTGCGGAAATACTAATGAATTTTCTTTCGCATTTTTCCTAATTTCGTTATACAAATTCTTTTGTACATCCTGCCTTAAAGCCAATGTCATTAAAGCCAATTCCATGGTATGGCTGGTAGTTTGGGAGCCAGCTATAAAAAAGTCCAAAATGATCATCGTTAATTCACTTTCTGTGAAAGGTGCCTTCTTGTTACTCTCTTGTTTCATCTCCTGCAGATAAGCGTATATGAAATCGCTTTCAGCATTTTCTTGCGTCAATGTACGCTTGTGTTCTTCTATAGTTTCCATAAAGAATTCATGTAATTCATTATTGAGTTGACAAATGATATTGTAACCGGTTTTCTTTGGCGCTATAAAACGTAGCCAAGGATATTGTGAGAGTAGACCACCGGACATATCAAAAGCTTGTGAGCGACGATGCAATAAATTCAAAAGTTTCTCTAAACGTTTATCCTCATAAGCGAAATGTTTATTGGCTACCATTGTCCATAAAACGTTAATAACGACATGAGCTAAAAAGCTGCTAGGGCATACGGGTGAACCGTTTAAGCCTTCTATGTAAGTCAATAAATCATCCGTTTCACGTTCGATATGTTTTTCCATTGGCGTGCGCCCAAAGCCGACATTACGCAATTGTTTCATAGAGAAATGACGATGTTCATACCACAACGGGCCATCGACACCGGTGATGCCTTTACGTGTACCCATAGTACGCAAACGAAAAAAGAAAGTATCCGGCCGTCCTTCGAACACTTCCTCCAAATGCACTTGCTTCACTAAAGGATAAGTTAAAGCGACTACCACCAGATCGCTACCCAATTTGAGCCCTAACACATTTGACTTGTACTCTTTCGACCAATTTTCATAGGCTTTGTGTTGTCCACCGGCAATCGCAGACTCCTTACGTAGATGCATCGTATTGCCAATCCATGGTAGAAATGGAGGTCCTAAAAAAAAAAAAAAAAAAAAACAAAAAAAAAATTAAAAATAATAAACAAAATATATGAAATTAAAAATATAAGTATTAAAAAATTTATTGATAATAAATTTTCATTTAGCTTGAATTTGTTAAATAAAATAAATAAATAAATTTGATGTGGTTTTTAATTAGCGAAAAAAAAAAAAAAACACACAAATCCAGTTATTATTAATTATTAAAAATTAATTATAAAAATCTGCAGCTGTATAATGATGAAAATGATTAATACCATAAAAAAAAGTTGGTTCACAAATTTTAATTGTTACCAATTAACGGTTTGTCTGCGATTGGGCGAGAAGAAGGATAAACGTGAGTGAAGTGACAATGTTTTCCTACTTAAAAATACATATATAAATTCGCCAAAGCGTATTTTCCGGTTTTCGTAGTGGAAGCGTATATCTGCGTACATACGTTCAGTACCCGATGCCGGATATAGGGAAGAATGCTATCTAAGAATTGCGGCTAATTTCTTATCTATGACAAGAGGTGTACTAGTCTTACGCAGTAGCAGATACGTTAGCAGAGTATGAAGGGTATATATGCTTGTTGAGGGCGAATCGTGTCTGTCCTTTGTCCGTTTTTTAGTCCCACAATTATCTCCACTATTACACTTTACTATGATCTGATAAATAAACCGCGTTTTTATAAACTGCTTGACATTGAAAAGGTATTAAACGGTCGAAATAGTCCTAAGCCTAACAATATGTAAATAGATTTTACACTTACTCCCGAATGCCGGTTTAAATATGAATCGACTTTTTGACGCATAATATATTCCAAGGTTTCATTACTGAACTTAAAAATGACTGTACACATACAAGCATTGAACCTGATCACCAAGGCTTGGACATACTCGAATTCTACTCTATTCAATTTCAGTTTGCCTTTGTCAAGGGGAAACGGAAAATGTCGTTTTTGATCGCCCGAGCGGATGAAGTGAACTTTAAATTGCATTTTATTCATTGATTTATTTATTTTATTTTTTTATATATATATTTTTATTTAATTGTAAATAAAAAAGATTTAAGGGGAAAAATGTATATTATTATTAAAATATTTTATTGGTATATTTTGTTTTTTGTGTTTTTGTAATGATTGTTAATAATTACCTGGGGGGAAGTTGTTTGGCCTTTTTACACTGCTCCATAGCTTGATGATAATGTAGCTCAATATAAAGGTTATAAATACTAGAAAGGCACTCATTTTTATTTGCTTTCAAACACTTTATTTTCTTTTTGAATTAAAAAAAATATATATATATATATATATATATATATTTACTTGAAAGAATCGTTCATATCGAAATAATTTTATTTAAATTAGAAAAATATTAGTTTATTTAATTTTTTTTTTATTTATTTTATTTATTTTATTTATTTTATTTATTAATAATACACATTTTCATTAATTAAATTTATTTTAAATTTATTTTTATCTCTTCTGAAATTTTATTACACAAGAACTCGCCTTAATGGGAGTAGTTTGCGTACACGTTTATTTCATTCTATCCCATTAATCAATTAATTTCGCCGCCCTACTCAACCATTAGTTTTCGCTTTGAGATCGCCGAATGCAAACTTTAGAAAATTCTCTGCATGCGCTTTTATATATTCGCATATAGTTTGTGTATGCGTATGCGTTACGTTGCTCATGTGGAAATCTCCTCTCGTTTGTAAGCTCAAATAGTTTTGTATTTCATTTCTGTTTTTTTTTTTTTTTTTTTTTTTTTTTCTTTTTCCCACCTATAGCCCCCCTACACCGGACGATGAGAATGTAATCGATTTATCAAAACGCTTGTAACGCTCGAAAGGAAGCTTCAGCCATCCTTTATAAAGTATATAAATTCTTGATGAATATTAAATTTTGTATCGAGGAAAATATTATGAAACGCATTTACAGTGGATATGCAACAAAAAAAAAGGAAAAAAAATTGGTTACACCTGCCTCAATAATATTTATATAACTTTTTAAGAAAAAAATATGAAGAATATAAAAGATACCGCCATAGCCGAATAAAATTGTCTGATTGATTGTGTTTTACATTATCGAATAATGATAACAATAGCTATCGTTCCTATTTATATATGCATATCTGTGCATAAGTATGTGTATGTGCTTGTGTGTGTATGTGTGTATGTATGTATGTATGTATGTATGTATGTGTATGGTGTAAGTGGCTCTCTCAGATAATTCTCCCTGCAAACATTTTCTGATAAACACTATGTATATAGGCAATCATTCAATTAAATCACAAATATCTTGCTTTGTTATTATGGCTCCAGTTGGGTAAATAAGAGCAATTTTGTAAGAGTGTATAAATGAAATGAAATATCTCGCCAGTCAGGATGTATATATGTGTCTTTAAATATTTATTCGGAAATTATTATTATTTTGGATGAATTATAAACAATCTTTATATTAATTATTATAATAAAAAATATTTAATTAATCATTAAAAATTTATAATTATTCATATTAATTTAATTAATAATAAATATAAATGAATTAGTCATTTGTTTACTTCATCGAGAATCGTTCAATTTGCATTCGTTTTCTGCTTATATATCCTTATATACAAATGTATATATATATATATATATATGTATATATACGCGAATTCATAAAATTCAAATTTCTTGCAAAGTATTTTAATCGAAATATTAACCATAGTTATCTGTAACCTTTTTCTCATTCTCATTCGTGGATAGTTACGGATATTCGTGCAATAGCAACCTTGCAATTTCGAGGCAAAATAATTATCGAACCCATTTTTGGACATTTTCAAATTTGTAAGATTGCTGCTCAGCTAAATGTGATTGTATCGATCGGAGTTCGGAGTTCGGAGATCGGAAAACACTCCTCAATCGGCAGAGAAGTTCCGAGCTCAGGTTAAAATCACTTCCTGGATTGCTTTGCCTAGAGACAGACGGACGTATGCGAATTTCATTTGAGTTAATGTTAAATAGAAGGAGACAGGTGTGGAGGAAATTCCATAAGTGGGAGAGAACCTTCCCGCCCAAGTTCGGACCACTTCCTCGATTGCTCTGGCTAGAGACTAAAATTTTTTTTCACAAAATCCCATTAAGCATTTTTTAACTGTTTCAAAGCTTATTGCATTTTCACTTCAAGCCCAATGAATTTGCCATATCCGTAGTTTAATCTGAATTTTCCTGCGGTTTAGCGCAGTTAAAAACTGAAAAACTACTAACACTTTTGACAAGAAATCTTGAAGTGTGCAATTTTTGTTGAAAAATTGAACCGTACCATACCACCATTCAATAGCGTTCCTTTTTCGGCCCAAAGCACCTTAGTGTATCAAATTTCATCAAAATATCTCATAAAAATCACGATCTGTACCTTGACCAAAAAAGTGCATGGACAAACATCAGACGGATATCCAGACTTGGATCGATTTTGAAAATGATTCAGAATCGGGCGGTATAATAACAGTTGCGTCTAGGCTTAAGCTCTTCTGGGTGTTACATACGTGCGCACAAACTTTATGTATCGTGTACCGTAAGCGGTGTAGGGTATAGTAAAGGAGGATCACGCTATCCTGTCAGCATGAAGTTAGCGGTTATTTTTTTTAATTAACAAACATTTAGCACGTGTTAGTACAATTGTTAAGAGTTTTTTCATTTTTTTAAAATAATTTTCTTATTAGGAACTAAATGTTGGTGTAGTGGTAGAGGGTTTTGTGCGGGTAGGATTGCTTTTTACACCCATCACCGAAGGATAAGAGGTTTATGCATTTTGTCAAAATATTCCCAACGTTCAGAAGGAAGCGTCGGAGACTTCATAAAGTATGTCCGTCTGTCTGTATGACCGTCTGTGTAATGTCTCTTGTAACCTTTCCCCTTAAAACCGCAAAAATAAAACTATAAACTTATAATTTGACACAAGCCTTGCACGCAAGTGAAAATGAGTCAAATTGGTCGAAGGACACGTTCACACCATCACGTACGATGAATACACTTCTGTTTTTCAAAGGGAATAAAACATAAATGTACAAAAATTTTGGCGCATATTCTATGGGCAATGCATTGCATCTAGGATTTGTGTACAAAAATTGAAAACATTGACCATGCCCATCCAATATTATAGAGTGTCAAAAATTTATGAATTTTTTTCTATACCTTTATAATGCGCAGAAACAAGCTTCCTAAACCCCATAGATTATACAAGTCTGTCCATTTGTGTGTTCGCTCAACTTCGTACTACTTTTTGTAAACATTCTCCCGTTAGTGAAAATGGAGATATCTTCTACAAATTTCCAAAAGAATTTTGGAATTTGGAATTAAGATTTTTAAAGGATACGCCTACAACGAAATCAACTGCGCCCCCTCCATACTATAGAGCATGAGAATATTGTTCTTTTACTTTTTTTGCTTTCTTTTGGAGTAAACGGCGATGGGTATAAAAGATTCGATCGGTTTTTTTGAGCGCTTCACTCACTATTTTTGCAATAAAATCACAGTTGAAAAATAAACGCTTGAAATAAGATGAAAAAAGCGCTCGAAGAATATAGTTTCGAGAAAAACGCAATAAAAATATTAAGTATAAATATATTATTTATCATACAAAATCGGCAAAAGCGATCGAATGTAGTCAGTCACATTGAGAATATCATCAGTCAGTCACATAAGAGAGATTCGTGTTTTGAGCGTCGTATCATTCTTGAATATTTCAGAGATCAAACGGATTAAGATAATATAAAAATGGCATAAACCAAAAAAAAAAAAAGAAGAAGAAGAAGAAGAAGAAAACAAACTGGAATTACCCCTTAAGCAATAATAATAGAAAAGAAAGAGTGGACGTACATACCACTTACTGAACTTTACTGGACTTGACGCTTAAGGTGTCATTATATAAAAATTTGAAAAATTGTTTGTCGGATAGGTTAGCACTGCTTAATGAAAACTTTTTGCCCATCACAATACTAAAAGAGAATGAAAGAGATAGCATATAAATGGCGGTTAATTAACAGTAGTACTGCTACTATCTATTAATGTTACTAACAGAAGAGTCAGCCAATAATGTTGAGCTCTTGAGCGTTACTTATTACTTGTCATTTGTCTCTGATCATAATATTATTCTTTAACATTCTGACATACTTACCTTTGTTATTTGCCCAAAAACTTTTTTTAAACACATATTCCGTTATATGATTTTTGAAATAATTCAAGTTATGTGTAATAAAAGTTGATCTTTATTACAAAAAACGTGTTTCTAAAACATCGAAATGATTGAGAATAATCGAATAAAATTAAGAACAAAATTAATTTTGACAGCAATTAAAAGGACGCAGCCGCAAAAACTGTCGCTTCACTTATAATAAATGTAAATATGATTTTGGAATTCTTATACACTTTACACGTAATTCATTTAAATTAATTTTAATTTAAAAATTAGAGAAAAAATTAAACGATTGGGGTTTTTTTTTTTTTGTTGTTTTTTTCTTCAAATCTTTTTCTTTTCCTTTTTTTGTTTTTTTTTTTTTTTGTTTTTTAATAGAACAAATTTTTTAGCTTATATTGCATTAAATTACATAACTATATACAATTTAAGGTTAATTTTTTGTAAGTGTGGGTGTCGTGTTGTACTCCTAAATATCATTTTTTTTTTTTTTCTGTTTTTCATTAGCATTATTGTTGTAATACAGTTTTCGTAAAACAATAACTTATTTTGTCTCGTCATTTTTCTTTTATTTATGGTTTTACTCATTTATTTATTTATTTATATATATATATATATATATATATATATATATATATATATATATATTTATTTTTTTTTTTATATGCCATAACATTTATCACTTAAAAAATCACTTTTCAATTTCATTTAACAGGTTTCATTGTACAAAGAATTGTCAATAATTCTTAATAAAATTCAAAGTAAAGAAAAACATTCAAATAAATAAAAACCTTCTGAACATTAATCAAACATCATAATTATAATGTGTAGAGTAAGAAAACAGTGCGTCAAAAAGAAAAAAAAAAAAATTGGGGGAAACCGTTCGATTGAAAAAAAAAAAAAAAAAAAAAAAAAAATTAACAATAAAAAATAATTGAAAAATTTTACATAAAACTTAACCTCAAACTTGATACGTGATAAAAAACAGATGTATACTCAAGTTAAGGCTTAAGGTTAAAACAAGACTACTTGCGCCATCGCCAATAAATAACTATATAATAAAAATAGTAATGTTTAAAAATTGTTTAAGAACCTTGATCAAAATTACATCTCCAAGTTGTATATGATGAAAGGCAAAAAA